ATTAATATTAGTTTTTATATTTTTTAATATAAATTAAAGATAAAAATATGTCTTTTATGACACAAATCTGATTCTTTAAATTTTAAAAATCTTTGTAAAATTATTTAAATATCCTTAATAAAATATTTTTTATGTTGATTCATTGAAGATATTTTAATCTTTTCATTTTTATATTTGACATTTTAATTGTTTTTAAAACAATTTTGAAATGCAATTAAAATATCATATATTATAATAAAAATGTTAAAATACCTTTAGTAAATCAACCAAAAAAATATTCATTAAAAATATTTAAATAATTTTATATAAAGTCATAATATTTAAAATATCAAGATTTTTTAAGTTTTGCTTTTAGATATACCTTTTTATCATTAATTTATATAAAAAAATGTAAAAATTAATATTAATATTAGTATCATTGTTACATTGATAAATTTAATTAAATAATTAATAAATTAAAAGATAATATTATTTTTTCAATATAAATTTATGACAAAAACTATATTTATTACAATTTTAATATGTACCCACCTAAACTTAAAAAATTCCTTTCATAATAATTAATGAGAAAATTAAGAAATATGTTAAAAAAAATTTTATTAATTAGATAGTTTAATTAAATTTAAAAAGTAATTTATAAAGATTATTGAAGTAAAACATATTATTAATTAAAATAAAAAATATATATTATTATTAAAAAAAATGAAGTAAAAGCAAACAAAAAAAAAAAAAAGCGAAGGCCTGCAGGTGCAGTGCCACGGAAGCCGATCACAAACGGCGTCAGGAAGCCAGTTAGCGGAAGGGCTGATTTGCACCCATCGTGGGGTTGGAGGGCTTATTTGCTACTTTTTTAGTTCAGGGGCTTATCACTTGCTGTCGAAAAAGTTGAGGGGCTTAAGATGGGTTTTTGTTTTTTTATTTATAAAACATAAATTTAAATTTTTATTTAAAAATAACTAAATTTCTTTGGATCAAATTAATAAGTACACAGTAATACACCGTAAATTTTAGAGTAAATAGTCAAACAGAAACTTAAATTAAGAAGTTGATTTCTTCTCCTTTTTTTTTTCAATTACTTTTTCCCTTTTTTTTGGGTTCTTTTGACAAACAGAAAGCACAACATTTATAAAAGTCCCGGAAAGTGAACCAAAATCACACTGCCCCCTTAATCCACGCTAATTACATTATAAAATACCCTACCATAAACGCTAGTAAATTCAAAGTCGTCACCCCATGCACAATAAACTAAACAGTGGTACTTTTTGTCTCCAGGTTCTAATGGTTTTGAATTTTTGTCCAGTTTTCTCTTATTTTACTAAAGGAATGGTCCTCAAAACAGTTTTTTTCGCACTTTTAGCTTTCCTCCACGGAGGAAGATTAAAAAATGGGGGAAAAAGAGACTTCTTGCAGTATGTATAGTTCCTTTCACCCACCCCCAGCCACACTAATTACCTTCTGTCTCCATTTTCCGAACAAATTAAGTACTTTTTTCCGAACAAATTAATACTTTGATAGCTTTGTTTAAGTTAATGTAACGATCTTGCTTAGTAAACTCCAATGCAAGTTTATTTAATTGACTACACGGTAGGCAATGGCCAAAAAAAGAAGGGAAAAGGCAAGAGGCAAGGCAAGTTGTTGTGATTTTTTTAATTTTGGCTTTATTAGAGATTGGTTGGTGTCGTATTGAATCATGAATTATATATATATATATATATAGAGAGAAAACTTGAAGATTTATAAAATTCAAAAGTTTAGTAACGAAAAATGCTATATGAGAATTATGATTTTTTTTTACAAGGCAATTTTGACATAAGAGGAGATTTAGAGGGTGTTTAATTGAGTTTAAAAAGTAAATTCTTATTTCACATATTTAAAAACTTATTGAAGAAAATTTTAAATATTGACTTTTAAGTAAATTTTAATTAAGTTTGTTCAAAATTTATTTAAAAATTGTTAATTTTTATATTTATTTCTAACAAAATTTAAAATTAATAAAAATTTATTTTTTAAACCCCACCAAACACCCTAACTCTTAAATAAATTCGATTCAACTTAATCGGCCCTTGAGGGGCTTTAGTCCCTCAATCTTAATTCATAGAGCCAAATGTAGTGAAGGATTAATTAGGAAATGTTATCAGAATTACCACCTTAATTTCTCTATTGAGAACTAATCAAAATTTATTTTGAAAATATTATAAAGCCATAATATGTCATTATATGATTAATTTTTTTATTCAAAAATTATTTGTGATATTGTATATAGTAATAATAATTATTATTATTATTATTATTTGTGATATTATACACATTCATTATTGTTATTATAAACTTATAGGTAAAATATTTGTCAGTTGAGTCTCTAAAAAATTAAAAGAAAAAAACTCTAAAATTATATCATTTTAACAAATTTTCGTAGAAAAAAGATTAAAATAATTTATTTTTATACTAAAATTGAGTTTGTTTGTGTTTTCTTTTTTAATTGCAGTACTTTAATGAAATAACATAATTTTAAAATATTTATACTCTTAAATTTTTAAAAATCCAACTAAAAATAACTATCTTTATAACATTTTTCTAATTTTATAGGTGAAGTTTTGATTCAACACATGATGTAGCCCATACAACGATGGCATTTTTATTTTCTTTTTCTCTAAATTAATCTCAACATCGTATTTAATTAAAAGGAAACAATATCTTACTCTTGACAAAGAAAATAGAAAAGTGCTATGGACATTAGTGTGGGAAAAGTGTACGTAGAAAAACTCATCTTTTTATTGGTTTTTTTATTTAAAAAAAATTTACACTCAAACAAATCAGTTTGCGAGTGCTAGCTACACTTAACAAATTATAAGAAAATATCTTTTCTATAATTGTTTTAGTGAGTAGTAAATAAAATACCATTGTGCCTAAAATATGTTTATATTCAATAATTGCCACATTATGCCCACTAGCGGGTGGATAAATTAGTTGAAATTCTTTCAGTTTAATCAAAAATTTTGATTTCAAACTCTGAAAATACAATTTTATTAAAAGTCACGAGGAAAAGTTTTACCGTCCGTTAAATCCTGCTCTACTTAAATCTGAATTAGTCGGTAACTCGATAAACTCCCAGATACTGAATGGAACATAAAAAAAAAAAAAAATCAATAAATAAATAATTGCCACATTATAATACTCTCTCAAATCTCAATCTCAAATTTGTAGATGTTTTTTTTTTTCTAAATTCTTTTTAAATTTTAACATCAGGAGATTGAGAATAATTTAAATTTTTAACCATATTACCTTTTTTAAAAAATAAAGATAAAAATGAAAGAGAATCTTTTATTATAAAATAAAAAATTAAATTTAAGAAATAATGATAAAATCAAAGTAAGAGATTATATTTATCTTTTTTAAATATTAAAAAAATAACATTCAATCTAAAACAAATACTAATCTATGATTCTAAAATAGGATAATAACAAGTTACAGTGATTACTAATCTCATTTTGAATTTGAAAGTGTACCACGTAAAAATAATAAGCAAACTATTCGTAATAAAAATATCCGATGATTACTTTAATCACAAAAGTCATCCTTTCACGCTTATCCTATTATTTTTCGTTTCTTAATTAATCCGCTGCTCCAATTGGGTCCACCTCTCCCCTTTTTCTCCTCAAATGGAGTCCTGAGTCCCCCCTTCTGGCTCTCCCTCTCCCTCCGCCTGGCGAAACCAACTCCAGAACCTTCATTGCTTCTCCCATGGATAACTTCGCCTCCTACCCCTCCTATCCCGACTCCGGCAACTCCTCCCCTCAGTCCCGGGAAATCGACTGCGAGAACCAGTCATGGGATGAGCCTCCCTCCAATAACAGCGCCAACTACAAGGTTAAGTTCATGTGCAGTTACGGAGGTAAAATCCAGCCACGCCCCCATGATAATCTGCTCGCTTACATCGGTGGTGACACCAAGATCCTGTCCGTTGATCGGAATATCAAGTTCTCCGCTATGATAGCCAAGCTGTCGGCTATGTACGGTGGGGAGGCTGACGTTTGCTTCAAGTACCAGCTCCCCGGTGAGGATCTGGACGCTTTGATTACGGTGACGAATGATGAGGACCTCGAGCACATGATGTTGGAGTATGACCGTCTGTATCGTCAATCGGCCAAGTTGGCGAGGTTGAGGCTGTTTCTGTTTCTGTTGAATCCGTCTGTGGCTGCCGGGTTTGGAGGGGGCGAGCCGAAATCGGAGCGGCAGTGGTTTGTTGACGCGCTGAATACGGTGCAGGTTCAGAATCTGGAAGGTTCTTTGCCTCCCGCAGCGGAGGCGTCAGCGTCGAATCCGGATTTTCTGTTTGGGTTGGATAAAGTAAAATTACCGGATTCAGTGCCGCTGCCGGTTCCGACGATTCCAGAGGTGGTTACAAAGGACGTGACAGCGGGATCAGACTGCGGATCTGAGGACCCGCATCCAATTGGAGAGTCGATTGCTGCTAATCAGGGAGAAATGCAGAGGCAGATCCAGGAGTTGCAGAGGCTGCAGATTGCTGGTAATTATGAGCAGAGTGTTATGCAGAGACAAAACGATGAATCAAACACCAGGGCCTACAACACTCAAGACTATTACAAAGTTCCAGAGAAAGTGGCTCCAGCGCCGGCTCCGGGGTCTGTTCCGGTGCAAATGCAGATTCCAACTGCCTATTATCCTGAAAGGCACATTGCAACTGCTGGTTATCCAGTGACAGCAGCGGCACCCGGAACTGACCAGCCTGTCTTCCTCATTCCAGCTTCTGCTACTGGGGTTTACACACCGGCGCCAACGCTGCGCCCGGTGACCGGACCAGCAGGTCAGCCGTACTACGGCATGCAGAGGGTGGTCCAGGAGGTCTACCGGGAGCAACCTGTTTACAATCCGGTGCCATCTACAGCTGCAGTACAGCAGCCCAAGATTGGAGCTTTTGCCGAGGGAATCTCAATGGTGCAGCCAAAAACTGGTGTTACCGAGCCCACTTATGTCCAGGTGGGGTATGACGGCGCCGGCAGACAGGTATACTACACGACCCAATATCAAGGAGTCCCACCAGTGGCCACTGGCGGCGGTGCCCTGAATCAAGACGGTAAGGTTGCTGTCAATGGGAAACCTCCCCAAACTTCTGCAGTGTGATTAAGTAATTAGATTATATTAAATTCGTTTTGTCTATTGAGTAATGCTAGTAGTGCTAAATAAGAATGAAAGATTCATATAGGTTTTGGTGAATTGTTGGATGTTTCTTATGGATTTAACAATCTTTGATGTGTAAATGATGACTGAGATTGAATTTGGTTGTAAATTGGTTGGTATTTTCTGATTAGTTTATTGCTATTGGCAAGTCTCTCGGTGTTAAGGTTGTTGAATCCTTAAACTGTGCTCAAAGTGGTAAAAGAAAAATGTTTTTATCATTCCAGAGGCTGACTACTCCAATGTCTGGTTTTGGGGAAGTTTCTATTTGTTCTTGATTGGATTAATATATTCGGAACTTTGGGTTGAATTTTTTTTTGGCATCCAGTTCTTATGATATTGCCTTGGGTTCAACCATTATTTGAGTTGATGAATTGTTGGGTTGAAAGAATGGTAGCATAATAATTCATGTAGTTTTCCCAGAAGCAATGCAGAACGGAACAGGAAGATGGTTTCTTTAAATCTTGGATTTTTCAAGGTAAGCAATGTTTTCAATGATGTTCTTTTTTGCAATTCATTGCACAGAAGAACAGAAGCAAAGCCTTGAACAAGTCAAAGCATGTTGATAGCGACAACATAGCAGTGAACCCACAATTTCAAGGTAAAGATTTATCAAATATCTTTATCAAGTGTCTTCTTAAACCCACAATATCTTTGCAAGTTGCAACAGCATTGAACCGGAAAAAGGATATTTATTGTCATGAACAAATTGTTACTTTCTCTTGGGAAGCTTTATTAAAGGTGAGAGATACAAAGTAAGTCTGGTTTTTTGAGTCACGTTATTTGCCTTTTGGCAACATTTGCATCAATACTTGCATCTTTGTTGGAAACTTCATAGCCAAAATCACAATTGCTTCTGCAACACTCTCCCCAAATCTGAATCTCTCCCCATGGCCACCTAAATACTAGAAAATGCTGCAACATGTTACTCCTATACCATCATTGCTGTCTACATGGCCTCTCAAAGCGTCATCCATTCTCATGATTTCTCTTGTCCTTGCTAAGAGACCGACATACAGTCCATACCCCACACCTTGCTTGAGCAATTGGTATAAATGCCAAAACAATCAAGGGCAACGCTAGTGATTCTTCATTGTTCATCAGACATTAGGTATGAGTCATACACGCATCGAGTAGTTGGTTTAATAGTTTCAATGGATAATATACATTGTAAATCCGGACTTCAAGCAGATCATTGCCACGGCTCTTCCATACGGATCTTCTGCAGAGAAATCAGCAGCGAGCCATCATGAAATGCTGTTTCCCTTTCATCAGCTTCTTAGAGGTTACTAGTTTCCTACTCTTTATACCAGGAAAAAAAAACCCATCACCCCCAGCAAATATTCTAGGAATTAAACCGTAGCTCATGATTGGTGTAATAGTTTCTTCACTTTCTTGTATAATGCCACAGGCATTTGCAAAGAAGAGTAAAATCTCTGCTCCTACACTTTATATCAAGGGATGGTTTGGATTTGGATGCTCACCTTTCTACAAACTTGGAGCTCAAATACAATGCCGTCTTCCCCTTGTGCCCATTGTAGTAGTTGTCTGGCCCCCACGATTCTGAACGACCTACGCCAGGAGTCAAAGTCGTTGTTTGGCTGCCGCCCACCAGGTCCACAATAGTGGGGATCACTAGTACTTTTCCATTCTAAAAAATAAAATAGCTTCAAAATTCGAATAATTCTGACAAAAATTCATACTCTTCTTGAGTTAGAATTCAATGGAATATAGTTATTGCCACCAACAAAATTTTTTCAAATTCACCAAAATTTCGAGTTAAGCTGCATAAAGTCGGGTGAAGAGACTATAAATTTGTCCGCTTTTACTAACATTTAAGTTTGTGGGAATAACCATTTACTCTCCAGCTTCCAGGTTCCACTGATTTCTTTGTCTGCACTACATCAGGTCAAAGGAACTTTACCAGAGTCTGTATAAATGGCAGCAGTTGTTTACAGGTCCGGCAGGTCTAATCCTAATCGGAGTTAAATGACAGTTTGGTCAGGTGATGCCAGGGGCAATTTCGTCATTAAATTCCCGTTTGGACCTAATGGCACGTTTGCAATGTGAACTTGAATCCATTGACTAAGACCAATAATGGAGTAACCAAAACCCACCATAGCAACAGTGTAATAATGTGAAAACGTGGATACAATTGAGGTTTTATAGTTCTCCAACCCTACGGTGGGTCGATCATTACAACTCTTTTGAAAAATATTATAATATTTAAAAATTTAAGATTTAAATTTCCTCTATTTCATAATTGTACTAGTTAAAAAAAAAAAAAAAAAAAAAAAAGAGGAAACTAAAGAAGAAAGAAAGGAGAAATACGGAATGGAGTGGTGTGTATTAGTGCTACTTGGTTTCTGCTTGGTTAGTGTTTTGTAAAGATCTCTTACTCATGACTTAATTTGTTTTCCCAATATCTGTTATGCTTTTGTGATCAGAGTAAAAACCTTGAAATGGTAATAGTTTCAACGAGCTTAAATGAAGAGTTTATTTTTGGTATTTGTGATTTAGATGTCTTGCTCAGCGTGCAATCTTAAGGATAGATTCTTATATTAATTTGATGCATTTAAAAAAAACTAATATTTTTAGAAACGGACTCTAAAACTTAAAACTTCAATCTTGAACTTGACCAAATGACAGCACCAACTTATTAATTGATCCAATGCTTGGAGTTTAGGTCATATCCATGTCTACTTCGCTTCCCATTCACATCTCAAAATTGCTTCTAACAATTATGAGATGTGAAATTAAATATCCTAAGGTTGGATCCATTGGTAAATGTATTTTCACATCCAAAATTCTTTGCTTTGTCTAGTAGTTCATTTATAAAAAGACATTTGCTTTAGGGCATTCTTGCATTTATCAAATAAAATCAAGTGAAATTAGAGAAAAAGAAAATAGTCCACGTTTTATTTTTTATTCCAGAACTCAATTACATGAAATATAGATGCATTGACGATGAATGAGCGAAGGGTGATGACTATTTGGAGTTTCAGGATCTACAAACAGCGAAGGTGATCTCATTCAAGCAATAACAATAATAATAATAACCACTTACTGCGACGAAAATAAAGTTATATCATAACAGGTTCAGTGGCAATTCACATTGCGAGTGAAAATCCCTCGAACTTCGTCTGGATCTTGAGTTCAGCATTTTCTCCTTTCATCCATTTCATGTGATTAATCTCTAATCTACTCACTTCATTCGAAAACCAACATTTTGAAGCAGACTATGGTGTCAACGACAAATGAACCTCTGCAATAACAAATTTAAAACCAGGTTTATAAATTCCATCATGGTAGACAGACAGCATTATGGAATTTCAACTTTCACTACCTTGTAGAAACAGATATGAGGGTTAAGAAAAGCCTCAGACTAAAACAAATTTAATTCCAATCTGACCTAAATAGTCCTTTGGCTTTGGAGTTCGAAGACACAAACCTTACAGGCAAAGAGTCTTCTTCAGTCCTTGTATTTCATTGTTTCTTTCTCAAAACCAATTGTTGGAAATTGTTTGGCATACTCCTCCACTTTGTGTCGGAGCTTTGTGATCTCAGATTGAATGTTCACGTCTGACTGCATGGTTACTACAAAATCCTTCAACTTTGTCCCTGGATTAGTAGTCATAATACAAGAGAAATGCCATAACTCATAAGCATACTCCTCACCTGACAAAGTAATATAAAGATACATCTTATACGAGGGAGAATGGGAATGGACCTTTTGTATCAGCCTTGATCTTCAAGGCCAACAGAACAGCTGCATCAAAAAACTCAGCTACCTTTTCAAAATCCTCTTCAACAAAGCCCCTAGATGTGAGAGCTGGGGTTCCTGAAGCACAGTACAAGGAAATAGTAAAATGAACTATGTATCCAACAGACAAGAAATGCTTAGTAATGAGTAGGTCCATACCCATACGGATGCCACCAGGAACCATGGCGGAGACATCACCAGGAACAGTGTTTTTGTTGGCTGCAATATGTACTGATTCCAGTACTTTTTCAACTCTTGAGCCATCAATTCCCTGTTAAAACACATTCCAGAAATAAAAAATAAGGAACTGGATTCAATTGTCTTGAAATAAACCCTTTGTTCCAAATAAATGCAGGTTCTGTAATTTAACCAATGGACTTCTTCAGTTGTTTGAAAGCAATTAAGTGAAATTTGATTGCACCCTAACACCAGATTTCTGTGGTCAGTGACAGGACCAAAAAGTTACATCACATATTGACCCTAGTGCCTACCGGATTACCATATCAGAAATATTACCTCAAATAATCGCATAAAATTGCTTCAAGGATGTGCCAAAGAAAAATGATTAGAACAGAGCAGTGAAATATATTTTGCACCTTGTTTCTTAAATTGACCAATACTAAATGGTTCTCAGTCCCACCAGACACTAGTTCATAGCCCCTCTCTAGCAAACTCTGCATATACAGTGGAATTTGAAATGTAAATCAAATTGTCCAGAAGAGACTAAATGCATTTTCTATTATTATTATTGAGATTGGATAATAAAGTTCAAAACAGGAAATTAATAAGCACAAATAAGCTGGCCAAAAAAATGCTCAAATGAGAAAAGCCACCATCATGTATCAGACAATGTCAGGACTTTCCAACATACCTGAGCAAATTTTGAGCAATTACTGAGAACTTGTTCTTGATATGCTTTGTACTCGGGAGTTCTGGCCTATATAATTATAGTTGAAAGAAGTCAAATACCGAATGAACAAATGGTTGGCCAAACCAATCAACAAACTGAATGGTCTATCAAATTCAAAAGTAAATCAATGACACTGAAACTTGTCATTCAGTATTTTGTTTTAGTAAAAGAGCACCTGCTTCAATGCAACTGCTAAACCAGCTATGGTATGATTGTGGGGACCACCTTGAAGTCCAGGAAAGACAGCCTGATTAATTTTGTCTTCAAAATCATACACCACCTGTGGGATGAAAGTAAACCATTGAATAACTAACTAATATGCCTACTCACAATTTGAAATTTCAAACTAAAAATGACTAGCAAACAGTCACAATAAAACAAGATAGTGAGAACATTCCATGCCTTAAAGTTTTAAATGATAACAATCAACACTATAGCTCCTATCTTACATCCACCCCCATAATTAGCTTAAAACAAGCTAGAGAAAATTCAGTTAGGTTAAAGTTTGAACTCACTTCTTTCCCTTGTTTGTTAATCTCTTTTACCCCCTTCCTGAAGAAGATCATAGCACCACGTGGGCCACGAAGCGACTTGTGTGTAGTCGTTGTCACAATATCAGCATATTCAAAAGGAGATGGAATGACACCTGCAGCAACCAACCCACTAATATGTGCCATATCAGCCAACAGAACTGCTTTCTGCTTGTCACAGACCTGTAAACAACAAATTTAGGGAATTCTCAACATCAAGTCAAAAATTGAAAGATAGTGTGACTGTGGATTTTCTAATCTTAAGTCAAGCAACGAGGACTTTACCTTGCGGATTCGAGCATAGTCATAAAGGCGTGCATAGGCACTGGCACCAGCAACTATAAGCTTTGGTCTGAACAGTACAGCACTTTTTTCCAACTGCAAAAGTTTTCATTCATCTACAATTTCACATCAACTCTAAAGAGAAGTTTCAATTCAAGGAAAAGTTGTTGTGGACATCACTAAATAAAATCAAAAGAGAACAAACAATTTTTTCTCCAGTATCAGAAAACTAACTGAACCATGAATAAAGACGAATTTCAATTTCCAACCAGATTTAGTACTGTACTATAAAATCTAGGATACAGATCTATGATGTAAATCAAACATGCACCAAGTATAAAAATAAATAACTCAGACATAACAATCTAGGATTTACAGGTGAGCATAAGATGTACCATCCTAAATACTATTCATCTCCTAAGATTGATCTGGTTTGAAAAAGGAACCTAAAATATGTTCAAGTGGTTCAAAGTTCAAAACCTAGCCAGTTTCATCTTAGGTCTTTTGTGGACCCCTAGCAATGACAATTTGGATAACCCCTAAAACTTTAGCTTAAATCTCATTAAACTACTGTGATTCTAACTCAGAATAAGTAATTCATGTGTCTAAACAAACAAGAAAATATTAAAACAATAAAATAAAATTAGATTTTTGGTAGCTGAGATGCACAAAACAACATGGTACCTGATCATAGTCAATATAACCTGTGCTCTCATTCAACCTATAAGGCATTGTCTCAAAAAATATGGACACAGCAGATATCTTCTTTGTGTCAGTCTGCATAACGTAAACAGAAAATAAAAGCTTTAGCATCACACACCACACCAAGCTTAAGTGCCTTAGATGATAATCTCTAGGCCAGGCATGTCAAAATTTCTAGATCACTCCCAAGAATAGCCATAACTTCTTCACAAAAGCAAGAGTTTGTTTCTCAGAGAAAAGGATAGAATTGCATTCTTGGAAATGAGATGTAGAAATATAACAACCTCCTAGGAATCTTGTCTTGCAGAAACATGGATGGCCTGCACAGCCTAATGAAATTCAGCAGAAAATTTATAATAACTGAAAAAAGTTATAAGTACCTGATAACCATGAGAAAGATGTCCACCATGAGGTAGATCAAGTGCCATAATTCTCTCATGAGGTTTCAATAATGCAGTATAAACTTGAAAGTTAGCTGGGGATCCAGATAGTGACTGCACATTTACTGCAAGAACAAAGGTCATCTTCATTTACTGCCCTAAAATAACTTAACATTCATAGACAAGATCCTTTGCATGCCGAAATGAAAGAGATAAAAAATTTAAATAGAAACAGAGGCAAAGGATGTAAGTAAATCTTGCTTCAAATACAATCATAAAAGTAAATCATTCACCTCCCCACTTTGCAGGATCCAAACCAAAAGCCTCTAAAGCACGTTTCTGACACAACGACTCCGCCATATCAATGTACCTAATCAAATTAAAAATAACAAAATAAACAAAACATTGCACTACTACTCTGCCAACAAATTGTACCAAAACCTGATATCATGAAGCAAATTTTTCTAGTTTTAATTCCAACACAAATAACAAATAAATCCTTTTCACTCCGCCTACTTTAGGTAACAAAAGTGGAGTATTAAAAAGAGAAATAGATTCTCATACTCATTTCCTCCATAGTATCTAGCGCCAGGGTATCCTTCACTGTATTTGTTGGTCATTACAGAGCCTACAGCTTGCATGACTGATACTGAAGTAAAATTCTCTGAAGGTATAAGTTCAAGTCCCTGCACATTCAAAATTTGATCAAAAAATCAGAAAATTACTAGCTAAAACTTATTAAATGATCAAATTCTTTCCCATGAACAAAGTAAGATACATTTCAGTAATTAAAATGAAATTCAAATAATTAACACTAACGGAATTATGATACCTTCCATTGCCTTGCTTTCTCGAGCTCGATGATGTTGGCGATTTCAGGATCAATTTCCTCCAGCGAAGCATTCAACTGCTGTATCCACTGAAATGAAATGTGTTTCCATTTTTAGTGCAAATTACAATACCAAAAACAAGGAAAAGAAAACAGATCTGCTGAGCCCTTCCAACAAACTGTACGTGATCATGGATCTAAAAACACCAAAATAAATGCAAAATAAAGAAACAGAACGCTTACAGTAGCACGAGCCTTCTCTTTCTCTGCTAGGACTTCATTCGGCAAAGAAGACTGCACACACACACACAAGTTCAAACGAAAATAAGAACGTGTTGTGAAGAAATGAACATCAATACTCGAAAGTAAGAAGGGAAGCACTATGGTTTAGATCTCAGAACCATGGAAAATAGGGAGCCGCCACTGAGAAGAGGTTTGATTGGGGTCTTGATGGAGGAGGAAGAGAGTCGCCTGAGGCTGATCGCCATGGCGATTCTCTGGTGCCTACAGTGAATGTGCAGAAATTTGTGGTTTGCTTTGGTGCTACGGTTGGCGGGGTTGGTGGATGCTGAGACAAAAATCTTGGATTGTAAAATGACTTGTTAGTGACCTTGTCGCGCATTAGCCAAAAATCCAAATAAATTAAAGGGCGCGGTTATT